CCCCCCCCAGGTATACGCCGGTGTATCATCCTCCGTCAGTTTCTGGATCCCGTGCACCATCATGATCTTCGTCTATATCCGCATCTTCCTGGAGGCGAGGAAGCAGGAGAAGCTGATCCAGTCGTCCACCTTGTACATGCACTACTCAGCGGCGCGCGGGGACCAGGGACTGGCGCCAGAACCAGACGCCCAGCGGTCAGAGCGACGCCGAATGAAGAGAGAACACAAGGCGGCCAAAACCCTGGGGATCATCATGGGCGCATTCATCCTCTGCTTCCTTCCTTTCTTCTCCTGGTACGTGGCCACCACCATGTGCCGTGACTCCTGCCCCTACCCGCCCCTCCTCGGCTCCGCCCTCTTCTGGGTGGGCTACTTCAACTCGTGCCTCAACCCCGTCATTTACGCCTATTTCAACCGAGAGTTCCGCACGGCCTTCAAGAAGTTGCTGCGGCTAGATCGCGTGCCATGTGAGGTACCCTATGACGCCACAACACGCGCACTCAACGCCACGTATGGCAACACTCACCCACAGTACAGGGGCTCTGCCAGTACCGCCCTACGACTGTCAGAGGGCGCCGCGGTGCGAGACTAGCACGTGTCTGACACACGTATGTTGTACAGTCTGACACATGTCTGTCATACAACTGACACACAACGGACGCACAACTGTCACATAGCCTGACACGTAACAAACGGCTACGACAAAAGCTATGCCATATGACTGTCAGACGACTGCCATACGACTGTCAGACGGCTGTCATACGACTGTCAGACGACTGCCATACGACTGTCAGACGGTTATCATACGACTGTCAGAAGACAAGTGGATTCCGAACACAGAGCCAAACTTTGTCCTTGGGAAGTGGATTCTAATGTTGTACAATGGAGACCTCCCCCGTCTCACCCCACCCCTACCCCGCACCCCCACCCTTTCCCCACCCCCACAACCCCACAACACACTGTCCCATCTTCAAAATTTTGTATCCGAGGAAAAGAAACTTTTGGAGCCTGTGAAAAAGAACAAAGTGAGGAATGAGTTACTTTTCATCCAGTCCTGATAAAACGTTGTGTTTGAAATGTAACTGTTTCTTTTTCTCAAATGGATATAGGCAAGGGATTTTCTGTTGGGCTGAGTTGTGAAAGCAAAACTACGACCTTAGTTGTAAAGTTAAGGCTACGACTTACGCCTACAGAATTTTTCTAAAGTCTGGAGAAAACCGACTTGTGTGTGTGTGTGTGTGTGTGTGTGTGTGTGTGTGCGCGCGCGCATGTGTGTGTGTGTGTGTGCGCGCGCATGTGTGTGTGTGTGTATAT